TTAAGAAAATGACTTTCTGAAATGTCACAATTATAGAGCAAATCACATAATCTTTTGCTGTGAGTTTGACAGCTTTAAAAGTGTGTTTTCATAGTAGCAGAAGAAGCATTTTAAATATAATCTAGACATACTCTGTAGTATTACTGGTGAGGAATCTGAAGCTGATTGGTCAGGCAGGTTACCTGAGGGCCGGCAGGTCGGAAGGACAGTAAGGATTAGATTGAGCTCCCCTGATACTCAGTTCTTCATTCTTCACACCAGAGCTTACACGTTTAACGTTATGAATTTTTTCAAGTTAAAACCGTGTTTATTATCCAATTATCCAATATTATTATCCAGTAATATAGCAGAAGGCCAGGCATTTTCTCCATTTGATGACTGTGATAAAATTGAGAGTCAATACTGTGGTTAGCCTCTCTCCTGAGAGGGAAGTAAAGTGGATATTGCATGTACCTTGAACCAAACTCCTTTTGGGACAGAAGGCAAAATCAAATTTTTTGGCCATTCTTAATAGCTGTTGTAATATAGTTTGACATTTTCATGTGGCAGGTAGAAAATTAAGCACGAAGTCCCTTTTATGATGACGCTCTGGTAATTTAAATAACAGATGCCATCTAAATTATTATCCTGAAGACTTTGGCATTTCAAACCTGTTATTTTAAATTCTCTGAAGAATTGGGAAAGATGGGTATTTGTGTATTTGTAAATATTACAGTGAAAGGTTGTATAGCACCTCATTTAGTTCTGTGTTAGCTATGAAATTAAAGAAGAAAAATATGGAGAACCTTTTTGAAATTTTACTGAAGTCATATAACACTGGTCTATTAAATAATATTTCACTGATCAATTCAAATTAGATTAATCTTTTAGTAGAATGCCTCTTCTTCTTTTTAAAATTGAAAGTTCATATGTATTCTGTCAGCATCCAAAAGATTTGTAAGAAGACAAATCACTTTGGAATTAACTCAACCTGTCCCCTCTGGAATGTAAAGTCAAATGAGTGAAGGACATATGTTCTGAAAGAGCAAATGCATGTGCTCTAATGTTTAAGCTTGAAATCCTTCAATTTTCTCAGTTATTTCCTATGCGCATTCATTCACTCTATTTAGCTTTAAGCAAATGTATTTTCGTGGGACCACTAGGTGTCATTGTATCTGTTTTTAAGGTTTTTAGTATGCCCATGACTTTCACATATCCTATTTCTGAAGTCTTTATCAATAATATCAAGAGTTCAGATCAGAAGATAGGGAAGGAAGGAAGGAAATGTGATACAATGAGACTGAGCAAAATAGATCCTGAAAAAGACAGTGCTCTTGGTATAAATAAGATGGGTAAAAGTTCTGGCACTTACATCTGTTCTGGTGGAAGATATCAGTGCCCTATTCTGTATAATGGTACAATATGAAAAAAATCATTATGTAGACAAGTTAGTATTATTTTAAACTCTTTGTTAAAAAGAAAAGCTCGTGATAGGAATTTTGCTTAAACAGTGTCATTGGGATTGTTTCTTTCTAATATTTGCTAAATACTTCCTATTAGGGGTACAGATTGGATACGCCATTAAAATGTATACAAAACTGAGAGAAAAAAAAGGTCTTCCTTCACTGGAGTTGACAGTCCCTTTGGAGGGATGATACTTAAAAAATAAATCATGTATATCAAAAATATGGAAGTGTATTTTATTATTTTTTCCTGAAGATTTTATTTATTTACTTGAGACCGAGAGCAGGAGCACATGCGCGAGCACACACACCAGCAGGGAGGAGGGGCAGAAGGAGAGGAAGAATCAGACTTCCTGCTGAGCAGGGAGCCCAATGCGGGGCTCAGTCCCAGGACCGCGAGGTCATGACCTAAGCTGAAGACAGAAGCTTAACCAACTGAGCCACCCAAGCGCCCCTAGAAATATACTTTAGTCTACAGTGTACGTAACGTAGGTCTTGGCAGATTGGAGTGATGGTCACAGTCTCCTTACGTTAGCAAGGCATAACTGTGAAGATTCGTTCATTCTGATGACTCATCCAAAGGGTTTTTGAAGCAAGACATGGGAAGTCACATATATTTTGCAAATCTAGTATGTTACCATGATACAGGGTGGAAATACATGACATAATGGGACATGACCTTTCAGACCAAGTCCCACGACTTGCCAGCTTCCCCTAGTCATTGAGGAGCTTGTGCCAGTGTACCAGGGGTGGGGAAATGGAGTTAGGGGTTTTCTAGGCAGAGGGGGGCATTCCTCCCTAATTTGCTAGTATTTACATTTCTTCATCTGTGGCATGTGGAAGAGGATTTTGACCTCACTGTGTTATGAGGATAAACATGGTATCAGTGAGTATTTGGGCATAATAAAAGGTGGTCCAATCATATAGGAGAATAACAACAGAGTTTAATTAGTTCATCATTTAAACAGTTGCAGAGTGTATGGAAGCAACCAGAGATATGGTTAACAGTACTAGGACAGGGTTAACAGTACTAGGACAGGACAGAGATAGCTATCTACAGGAATCTTAAAAGTGGTTGAGGGATGCTTATAATCTGAGAAAATCAGGCAAGGAGTCAGAGGAATAAATATACCTTAGTTTCCTTCCTCTTTTCCTCTGTTGGTATTACCTATCAGTGGAACCCCCCTGACAGTAGATCCCAGGGAGCTCACTGATACAGTTCATACAGATGAGCTTTCAGGGACACCTCATGTTTTAGAGAAGATCAGAGCATACCTGATGGTCAAATAACATCCCCCACACTGGTGCTTGCTTCTCATGTGTATTATTGGATCATGCAAATGCTGTGCTTCCAGTCTTCTAGAGATTCACCATAGCTTAAAGGATAAAACACATAATTCTTAATTTAGAACAACATCATTTTGGCATCCAGATTGGTAAGGAAGAAGTAAAACTTTTACTGTTTGCCGATGACATGATACTATATATAGAAAACCCTGAAGACTCCACCAAAAAACTACTAGAACTACTGAATTCAGTAAAGTCTCAGGATACAAAATCAATGTACAGAAATCTGTTGCATTTCTATGCATGAAGCATCAGAAGGAGAAATTAAGAAAACAGTCTCATTTACCATTCCACCAAAAATAATAAAATACCTAAGAATAAACTTAATGAAGGAGGTGAAACAGACCTGGACTCTGAAAACCATAAAACATTGGTGAGCAAAATTGAAGACGACACAACAAAATACACATTCCATGCTCATGGATTGGAAGAACCAAGATTGTTAAAATGTCCATATTACCCAAAGCAATCTACAGATTTAATGCAATCCCTATCAAAATATCAAGAGCATTCTTCACAGGACTAGAACAAACAATTCTAAAATATGTATGGAACTACAAAAGACCCTGAATATAGCCAAAGCAATCCTGATAAATAAAAAAAGCTGGAAGTATTCCAGATTTCAAGTTTTATTACAGAGCTATAGTAATCAAAACAGTATGGTACTGGTACAAAAACAGACACATAGATCAATGGAACAGAACAGGAAACCCAGAAATAAACCCACAACTATATAGTCAATTAATCTTTGACAAAGAAGGAAAGACTACGCAATGGGAAAAAAGTCTCCTCACAAATGGTATTGGGAATACTGGACCACTTTCTTCCACCGTACACAAAAATAAACTCAAAATGGGTTACCAAGACCTAAACGTGAGGCTTGAAACCATAAAAATCCCAGAGAGAGCACAGGCAGTAATCTGTCTGACATTGGCTATAGCAACATTTTTCTAGATAGTTCTCCTGAAGCAAGGGACATAAAAGCAATCAAAACAAAACCAAACAAAAAAACACCAAAAAGCCCCCCAGAAACCAACTTGGGACTCTGTCAAAATAAAAACGTGAAATAGGTAATGGGGATTAAAGAGCACACTTACCATGATGATGTAGAATTGTTGGATCACTATATTGTACACCTGAAACTAATACTGTATGTTAGCTATAATGGAATTAAAAAACTTAAAAACAAGATCATTTATGGCCTAGATTCTGTCTTCTTGAAGTTCTCTTATCTACAGCTGTGTGTGTGGAGCTATCCTTGATTCCTCAAGGTGCCATGTCATGTTTTTTCACCACCTGTGCTTTATCTGTGCGGTTTACTCTTCCTAGAATGCCTTTGTCCTGTTTCCTCTTTTAGCTAATTCCTGCTTGTCCTTCAACATTGAATTCCCCGAGAAGAAATTCTTATTCACAGTTGGATTTAGATACTGTCTTTTAGTATGTCTGTAATAATCCTGTTTACTTCATTGCAGTATTATATGTGCTGTTGTCGTAGGTGACTTGTCCTCTCTCTAGATCTGAATTTCTCCAGTGAAAGGTAGTGTTTTGTTTTACTCTGTATCCTTAGTAAATTGCATACAGTTTTTGATATATGAATTGAGTTAATGTTTGTTGCGTGAGTAAATGAATGTGTGGAGTGCACAATTTAATGCCGTGGAGCAGTAGGTATACCGTATGTTTCCTTTTCGGAAAGAAGATACTCATGTGCTACAGGCTGGCGTCCAGTGGGGTAGGGAGGAGACTCGAAGTGAGCTACAAGGATGCGAGTTGCTTCTTTCAAACCGAGGCGTCTAATGAAAGTGAGACGGTTGGAATTTGCTTTCCGTTCTCTTCCAGCCTATACCTTAAACTTGCAAAATTGGACATACAATTGAAAACTCCAAAACATCTGTCTCAATGTGAAGATGCCTTGGAGAGCCCAAAGTTTATAACCTTCTATCGGCAGAGAGTAACGATGGCTTTCCCAGATTTCTTCATAAACCATCAGTTAGTGCTCTCCAGCATTTCATTGATTTACACTATTGAGAGAATTACCTTTCTCAGCCTCAATAATAAAGGAATTGTAGAAACCGCAAGTCATAACCTTGAATCTCATCAGTGTAGTAATTATGAATTCCTGCAGACTAGTTAAACACTAAACATTTCAACCCACGTACAATTACGTGTCATATGTATTTGTTAAATATTTTTTTTTTTTTTGTCTTTTTTGGGGAGGAGGCGCGTCAGCTTTATTGGTCGTTGGTGCTTAGAAATGTGGGGGCTCGGGGCCCTGCTGGTGGAAGGCGTGTGCAGGGCCTGTGGGCAGCTGGGGCCAGCAGTCCCGCGTCCTGGGTCAGGAAGCACAGATGCCATGGGTCCCCAGTGTGGGGCCTCAAAGCCCAGATGCTCGTTGCACTGGTAGAGGCAGGGGTCTCCTTGTCCCTCCGGATACGTCCTGGGACCAAGGCCAACAGGGGCCCCTCACCCCCATCCTTGGGCTGCTGTGTGTCTGTGGCAGCCACGACCCTTCCCCACTTCTGTCCCCTGGGGCACGCTCCAGGGGGAGGGGCAGCCGAGGACGGAGCAGGGCCCGCGCTGGCCTGGGGTGGCCTAGCCACGGGGCGGCTCATCCCAGGACACAGTCTAGTGGGGCCCGCCTGGGCTCTTGCGGTTGCCGGGAGTGCCCCCCACTGGGAGGTGGGCCTCAGGGGGCAGGTGGCTCCGGGATCTGGGTGGCTATGGCCGGGTGCGATCCGGGGACATCTGAACCCTACTGCCGCGGAGCCACGTCCATCACAGGCTTCTGGATGCCGAAGGCAGTGATGAAGATATTGACCACGGCAATGACGAAAACCAGGCCGGTGGCCAGGTTGTTGAGGAAGTCCAGCTTGGCGTGCTTGGCAGGATTGTTGAGGTCGTACCTAACAAGGAAGATGAGCAGCACGCCCACACCAATCTGCAGCACGAGGGAGATGGAGATGAGGACCACCAGGGGGGACGAAGAAGGTGAAGGCGGGGCCCTGCTCGATGATGGCCTTCAGCTGGGAGGCGTTGGCCATCAGCAGCGCGATGTCCAGCATGCTCTCAGCTGCGCTCTTCTTGTTAGCGTAATGGTTCACGTTGATGGGCCGGTTCCGGCCCCAGCGGGATGGCGAGGCGTCCGGCGAGCCGGGCGAGCCAGGGCGCAGGTCGCCGTTGAGCTCGTACTCCTCGGGGCCCGACTCCATGGTGCGGCCGCCAGAGGCGCCTCGCTCGCGGCCTGAGCGCCGCCCGCGCCGGGGTCGCGGGGACCCGGCTGCGCGCCCGCCCCTGGCCCGCCTGTATTTGTTAAATTTTAATACCAGATATATTTCAATGGAAAGGACACGTGAAAACATATATATGCCCTCACACAGTTTTTTAAAAACAATAGAACTGGAACTCAATCTACAATTGTAGTTCAAAGTCAAAATGAATATAGAAACCTGAGAACCTGCTAATGCATTGGTATAACTTGAATAGTTAATATGGGATATTTAAGCACAAACTATGCTATTATCAGTATTAAAGTCCATTATATGTTTATATGTCAGTCATGCAGTCCATTAAATGGTTGACCCTTGAACAACACAGGAGTTAGGGTCACTGACTCCCCATGTAGCCAAAATCTGCATTTATCTTTAGATACTCCCCCCAAACTGAACTAGTTTGACCAGAAGCCTTTCTGAAAACAGTTGATTAACACATTTTATATGTTATATGTGTTATATACTGTATTCCTACAATAAAATAAGCTAGAGAAAAAATGTTAAAATCACAAGGAAAAGAAAAAAGATTTATAGTACTGTATTCATTGAAAAAAATCTGTGAATAAGTTGACCTGTGTAGTTCAAACCCATGTTGTTCCAAGGTCCAACTATATTATCAATAGTACAGCCCATTTGTTTCATTTCACAGAAGTTTTGCTTCCATATTAGTGTAGTTGTCTAGATTACATAAGAGGGGCAGGATTGGCATATAGAAAAGACTTAGTAAAATTCCAAAGGATTGATGAAACTGCATAAATTTTGATATTTGCAGGAGATGGTCCACAGTATCTGTGGTAGGCTAAATAATGTAGACCACTCCCCTCCGGGATATGTGTCTAATCCTTGAAATCTGTGAGTATATTCACAAGGAAAAAGGGATCTTTCAAATCTGATTAAGGAAGTCGATATGACAAAATTTGGGGGGCTTATCTGGATCAGCCCCATGTAATCACAGGGTCCTTATAAGAGGAAGGTAGGATCAGATTCAGAGAAGATTTAAGGATAGAAGTAGAGCCAGAGCGAAGAGAGATTGCTAGTCAGAGGTCTTTAAAGGTAGAGGAAGGAAGTGGCCATGAGCTGGGCATTTTAGGTAACCACCAGAAGCTGGAAGAGGCGTGGAACCAGACTCCTGCCTGGAGCTTCCAGAAGGAACCAGCCTAGAGGACACTTTGAATTTTAGTCCAATAAAACTGATTTCAGATTTATGAACTCCAGATGAGAGTAAATTCATGTTGTAAGCCACTAAATTTGTGGTGATTTGTTATATCAGCAGTAGGAAACTAATATAATTTCAAAAGGCCACTACTACACAATTAGAGAATACAGTGTTTAGGTCTATCTTAGCATATATTTACTCGTTAGTTTCATATGTTTGCCCTCCCATGACCTGCTAATAATTCTCCAGGACAGAAAAGGAACTCTGTCTCCTTCATCTCTGTATCCAATGTTCCTGTCACCTAGTTGGACTCAGGACCTCTGTGTTGAACTAATGGCTGGTCTCACTAAGTGAGCTAAGTGGTTGCTGCCACGTGTTTTTTTAAATTTGCTACAGATATGCAAACAATAGACAAGTGATAGGGCTTCTAATTAGCTGTATTTGAACTTGATGTGTACCAAGGGACTGAGTGAAAACATTGAATAAAAATAAATATTCATCAGGAATATGAGTAGATTTCATAGTTTTGCTTTTTTATATTTTATGTCTTAAATAATTGGAATTCAGCACAATTACTAAAAATACTTTGAAATATTTGCAGGTTTTTTATCTGAAAACTAAATTTGATTATTACCTATAATTGTGGTCTTGGAATCCTGTGTTTGGAAGTGAGGTTGGAGAGCAGAGCTGTTGGATGTCTAATACACGAAATTGTCTCTTTAACATCATCGTTCGCAGGTGATGTGATTCAGCCACCAAAATGTTTGGATGTCTAAGTATCTGGGATTTGCTAAGGTTATCTCAGACAAAGGAGTTCAGCACCAGATCCTGATTGTTCTTTCCAGTTTTTTAAAAGTTATGGACGTTGATAGAATTTGTAATATCTTCCTTATTTTCAAATTCCCAAATTTTATACAGTGACAAATGATTCCTAAATAGGGAAAGCTTAAAAAGTAATGTATTATCTCGTTCAAATGACATATTTGCTTTTCTTTATGGTACAATATTTCAGAGGCAGTTTTAAATGGGGGGAGAATAATGGTGGTGAACTTTGCTATAATGACAAAATAATTAACTATAACAATCTGGATCCCATTATCATTCGAGAGGGATAGTTGCACAATTTCAATGCATGAGGTCATCATCAGGTATTTTTACTGTTGCTGTTTTAAAAAAGTAAAAACTTTCTGTACTGGAGGTGTGAGGAACTCAGAAGGTGACATTTCACTAATGACTCCTCTAAGAAATTGACAAAGATGGATGCAGTGCCTTTATTGATGGCTCTGGAGAAACATGGTACTTTCAAAAATGACATTAGAGCTGTGGAAAAAGCTGTGCTTGCGGTTGTTTCCAGAAAAGAATGTTATATACCTTAATTGCATAATGCATATTTTATCTTAGTTTATAAATTCTCACTTGTCTCCTATTTAAATAGTTAATTGTGCTGTTTGCTAAGATCCAATAACTTCAACATTATGACTTCATATTATGCAACACCTTACCTGAGAGAACCTCAAGAAAACTTATACATGTTCCACTAATGAAATCTTGCCCCTCCCTTGTGGATGGAGTTTATACAGAAACTTTTATTTTATTACTTTGTTTAAATAAGGTACAAAGACATGTGACTAAAACCTGGATTCAAGGAATGATTCCAACTCAAGCAGTCCTACATTTCAAATACAATCTAATAACTTATTGTTTATACGTTGACCCTTTCTTAATATGAAATAGCTTTCTCATAGGAAACAGTTAGAATCTCAGGGATTTCTGTTCCCCATGAGGATCATTAAAGAACTGAAGCTCTGTCTACTGTGCTTGCTTGGGGCAGCTTCAGTCTGTCTCTATATTTATCACCCAGCTTTATCTTTCCTAATGTTTATTCTCAAAACAAGGGTGGCTTGAGGGCTGTCTCGTCCCTTCAGAACTTCATTCTGGGCCAGTTTCCCTGGGAAAGAGACAAAGCCCATCCCTTTGTGCTCACTCAGTACAGGGGATAAGATACCAGGACTGATTTCAAAGGTCCTTCCCAACTGTGAATTCCAGTGAGCTTCTGAGGCTCACGGTTTTAAACCCCTAGTGGAGTACTTAATAGCCTAAAAATATTCCTTGGTAAAGGAGGGCTAGTAGGTGATTCACACAGCTATCTTCCCATCAAGGATGGGGCCAACCATCCTACTGGTTCATAGAAGGTTAGGAAAGTTTCATCATGAGAAGCTCTAGTTATTTGAAGACAGAATGTGGTGTGATCTATATGTATTTCCCAAATCAAAATTACTATGGATTATATACCATATCCACGCATAGGCATGTTTGATGATATTGATTTGATTTTCCTTCTGAACTAAAAGATTGCATGGGACCATACCCCTGGTTTCTTCTGTTAACAGAATCCCTTTTTTGAATTATTTTTTTTACCTTTAGTCTTTGTGCTTAATGTCTGCATATTGTACTAAAATTCTTTTAAAAATTAAAGAAAGTCAAACATGTAAAATAGATAATTGCTTATTTTCTGTACCAAATAAAAGGTGAAACAAACTACATGAAAGATATAATTAGTTAAAAATAGCATTGACTATATAGCTTTTCATCCTTACTAGGATCTTACTAGAAGGTTTCTGTGCACAGCTAGTTGGATTCAAGCATCTTCTTTGTTCTGTTGGCCTTGCCTTTGTCATGGGTAGAAATTCTCCTATGGTTGCTACTTGACTTTCACTCTAGAAAACTTATGTTAGGGTTTGATACCATTTGACTAGGAAACCTGTGACCCTCTAGACTTGATAACACAAGTTGTATTAAATAGGTTAAAAGTCCTGGTGGCTGGTGGATGGAAGGTTTGGCATTCTGCCGTATGAAGGAATTAAGTCTAACTCCATTGTTACTTCAGAAGAAATTTTCTTCAAGTGAAATGATGGATTGAATTAGAAATTGTTCTTGCATGAATTAGAAATGACTTTCAAGACTGTGGACCTACGCTGTCTTGAATATTTTTGTAAGGGAACTGAAGCCATTGACTGAAATAGACATCCGTAACTTGAAAAATCCGGGCATTCTGAACCTTGTTCTTCAAGAAATTAAAGTCTAAGACAGCGGTGTGTCAGAGGTAGAGTTCTACCTTTTGTTTATGCGATGGTTAAATGGTTAGATTAGATTAATACACATTTTACTGTTGATAAACTTTTTTTTTTATCCTGAATCTGTGAAAAGGGAACAGCTAAAACAGAGGACAATTAATCACTACTACTGTCAGCAAGCTTTTATATTTCAGTCTTATCAAATGAGATACAGACGAAAAACAAAACGATATTGTTCTCTCTGGAGTATCAATGCATTATTCTCATCTCTATGAGAAACACTGGTTGGATCAATAAGACATTTTCCCACATTTCCCTGCTGGCCACAAAGCGTCCAATTTCCACTTTAGCTATTAATTGATTCAAATTATATGAGATTGTACTGTAATATAAGGCAGTCACCCCATTACTTCTGACATTCCTTTTTAACTCTAAACTGCCCTTGGTGATTTCTGTTCTTTAAAACAAATTTAAAGACTTTGTTCAGATTTTCTTTCTCTTTTGTCTCACTACCAAAATACCACCTAGCACTTCCATGATTCTTTGGAGTATTGGCTATTGAGTCTGTAGCATATTAGAAAGCTGTTTTTTAACCTTTGGTAAAAATTATATTCAAGACCCCACATAATTAAAATCTTTCAAATACTTGAACATGTACTACATCTTCCACTGTTCTGCTTGTGTTCCAGGTAGAATAAGTCTCTATAGCCAAGCATTTAGTTGAACTTTATTCTTCTCCCACAACATTTGCTGCCTCTTCACTTCCTAGGACT